TCTGCATTGCTATATTTATTCTGTCGGCAGTGCCCCATCTCACAAACCTAAAGCCGAACCTGGCAGCAACACAAATTTGATATCCTCAAATGCAAAGATGTGACTACAAAGCTAAATCTACAAAGGCGTATAAAAAGTGTATCTTTTGTACCCAGCCACTGTATATTTTAAATTTAAGTATTGGCAACACTAGTGCGGCTAGCGTTTTCAGCAATTCGGTCTCCAGGGGGGCTATTTTCAAACTCGAGAGAATTCATTTCTCTCAAGAGAAATGTCATACGTCAACGTAAAACCGTATTTTTAGGGCTCTTAGGGCCAGTGTGAACTCACTGACTGTTTCTCTCGGTTTATTTAGAGAGAATTAAAATCTTCCTAAGAATTTTAATCCTCAATGCCTTTAAAAACAACATTTCCACATTGACGTATGACATTTCTGATGAGAATCTTGAGAGAAATGAGTGCTCCCATACTTTGAAAATAGCCCCCCAGACGGCTGTTGAGGGCCGTCGCTGATCAACACGGCTCCCGCAGTTAAGCGAAGAAATACAATGCGTACTAACACGGTTCCCGCAGTGTGTCAACATATTCAGTACAGAGCCGTACTTACAATTATTCCTAATTTTGAATTGAGCCTATGAAATAAGGAATAAGTAACCAAAATAAAAAATATACATAATCAAAATATATTTATTTCATATTTGATTTTTACAAAACAGATAATAATTAAAAGAATAATAATAAAAACAAATTAAACTAACCGAGGTAAAATATTTTAAGTAGAAACTATAAAGAATTCTATAACAAATTAGAATCTAAATTAAAAATTTTTGACAACATGATATCTTTCGAAACATGGAACAACACATAAAGGAACATTACAATTTACACAAGTGTAGCGAGTTTCTTTCCTAATTTTACTCTTTGCACATACAACACATCGCTTACATGGCGGTCTTTTATTTTCTTCGGTGGCCTCATACATCGAAGGAAAATGTCTCTCAATGAGACGTAAAGGAGAATGAGCATCGTCGGGCTTACTACTGGTTGAGGCTCGGGGTTTTATTTTGTGATGTTCAGCAATAATTTCTTTAAAAAGTGATAATTAAAAATCTGCGAGTGGAATATTTTTGCCAGTGTTAATATTATATAATACATGGGCGTTTAGCAAACTTATGTCCAATAAATGAAAAAATAACTTTTTGTACCATTTAATGGACTTTCTGACAGACTCAGTGGTACTAAGAAGCATGTCTGTTCTATCTACAGCCCCCATGTTGCAATTATAATCTAGTACACATTCTGGTTTTAGAATAGAAACATTTTGTTGTGTTTTTTTACCACTATCCTTCATATTGTTAGAATGAAGTGTGGTAAGCATTCGAACTTCTCGTTTATCTACCCATTTTAATGCCAGCATATTTGTAGTCTTGTAGTTAACTAACTCACCTTTAGCTACTTTTTCTTTCATGGGTGGCATGTGTTTTCTGTTTGCCTTTACCGTGCCACATGCATTTGTTTTATCCCTGTGTAGCCGATCAAACAAAAGTGGACTGGTGTACCAGTTATCAACAAATAAAGTATGTCCTTGATTTAAATAGGGCTCCATCAACGTATATACAATGTTTCCCGTAATTTTTAAATCTTCATTAAATATTTTGATTTCGATATTAGATCCAGTATAAATAATGAAATCTAGAATATATCCGGTCTCACAGTCGCACAAGAGGAATAGTTTAATACCGAATCTGTGCCTTTTGGAAGGTATATATTGTTTAAATGCCAACCTTCCCTTAAAAAGCATCAAATTTTCATCAATACAAACATTCTGAAATGGATACAAAACGTTTCGAAAAGTGGGCTTTAAATGATCTATAACCATCCGCAGCTTGAATAGACTGTCTTCTTTCTCAACGGTATTGTTGTCGGAAAAATGTAACATACGCAATAAACTTAAATATCTATCACGTCCCATAATTTGGAGGAAAATAGGTGTAGACAAAAAAGTATCCGTTGACCAATAGGCATTAATTTTCTGTTTTTTAAGTTGTGCCATGAGAAAGGCTATAGCTAAAAAATAATATATCTCATCCACATCTGTGTCTTTCCACTTTGCAATACGCGACTTATCTTCAATTGCGCCTTGTTCCACAACGTATTTGTGAAAATTGTTAATTTGAACAACAATTTTTTCTACAAACTCTACCGTAAAAAATATTTTAAAACTACTTACAATACTCGGGTTACTTATAAAGTTTTCCTTCATACACCCTGATTTGTTATCAACAAAATTATGAATAGCTGGTTGTAAATTTCCTTTTTCCCAATCAAACATTGAGACTTTTCGATGATTGGCTTTTGGAACTGAAGTGCTGGTATTTGATGAGGAAGCTGCAATCTCTTCATTTTCCAATTCATCATCATTTTTATTAGAATTTGATGAGGATGCTACATTCTCCCCATTTTCCAGTTCGCTGTCAGATGTATCATTTTCTTGATCAGATTCATACAAAATAAATTCCTCCTCACTGTCACTATTCATTAAAACTTCGTTAAGTTCGGATTCGGTAAGATATTTGCGAGCCATACTAAACAAAACTAGAATAGAACTTCGTGCAATTCGTTCTTATATCTAAAATATGAAGAAAGCATGAATAAAATATTCTTATTGACTAATAATATATACTTATACTTACTATGTTCAACTAACCACTTATCTAAGAGATCGAGCCACAATTCGATTAAATATTTAATTCCAAATGTAAAAGACACGAAACACAGTTATCAAGTGTATTGATTGAATAGTTATCTTACCCAAAAGAGAACAAAGAATTACAATGCGTGCGCACTACCAAGTAAAAAAAATATGACAGTACTTATCTGAGAAGAAAGCGCTGATCTATACGGTTCCCGCAGTGAAACATTCATATGTTTAAATTTGTGGTAAATGACTCCTTGAACAAAATCAAATATCATCTATAGGCAACACATATTACATACATACATCGTATTCGGTCGGGTTCCGCAGTTACTGCATAAAAATGGTGCGCGTATTTATCCGGTTCCCGTTATTCGAACACAAGATTATTTTGCGTATATACCCCGTTCCCGCAGTGAAAGGGTTAATAACATATCTTTAATAACCTGGTTGTGCATTGTATGGTGATAAAAATCATAAAAAAAATTACTTAAATATAAAAATGATTAAAGATTATTAATCAAAACTCCAAGTGACAAATAAACAAGTTCAATTTCAATTGCAAATGCTGTTTCATTAAACGAGACATGTGTAATAATTTGGCATTATTATTATTAATGCTCAGGGGGTAGGTTCCATGTGGGGTCTATTTGGTCAAATTTTATGGGGGTTGAAAACTATTCCATAGGGGCGAAGAAAAGGGGGGTATTTGTAGTAAAATATTTTGTTACCAAACATGGCTTGTGGAGTATTAAATCATCGAAGATTGAAGAACGTGTAAAAATATAAAAAAATGTTTTAAAGCTCGTATGAAATGTACCAGAAAATGTCATAAAAGCGGATCATGCTGTAATTAATAATCTTAATCTATAATTTGTATTTTAACTTTAAATAGTTTAGAGTATTCAAAATCAATGGTTGAGTATAGTTCGCATGGCACATCGTCATGCGTCAGTCGTATTATAAACACGATTCGCCTGACATATCGTCAGTCGTATTATGATACGACGGATTTCATCTAGTCAGATTCTCAAACACTTGAGCATCTGTTCAATTTAACAATAAGACTAACAAGTGGCAGGCTTATTATAATACCCCTGAAATGATGAGTCAAATTGTGAGATTCTTACTTATTTGGGTAGTATTATGATATGTCTAGTCGTATTGAAAAAGCCTAGGCATATTATAATAAGACTGATTTTACCATAAGCCTGCGACATATACATAACAGTAGTTCAAGAGCTATTTTTTGCTACATTATAGACAAATGGTAGTTATTTGGCATACATATTGACACAAATTTTATGTTTGCAAATTGAGTGTTCCATTCAGCAAGCTGATCCTGCTACCAAAATCGCACCAAGAATCCAATACAACCAATGAACGCGTTTCAACTGATAAGTTGTTTTATCGACTATTTACTTGACATAGCTTTTTTATTATATAAATTATAACTGTTTAAATACGGACGAATGGTGGTATTACAATAGTAAATTTTACTTATGACTCGAACCAAAAATTAAGCAAAAATCCATATTAAAGAACATCAATTTAAAGGATTTTACAGTTACATTACGCTTAGAACAAACAAACGGTAGGATTTTTTTTCTGCACCCACTTGGATATTATTTATTCTATGCAAAATCAAGAAGTAGACCATTGCGTGCTACTGAATGGATACAGTTTCATATCCATTCTAGTAAGGACACTGTATGGATATGAAATTTACCAAACACAGTTCAAATTTATTGACCGGTCTACTATTCTTTTTTAATATGTTAAATAAGAGATGATGCTGTCAAACTAATTATCAGTACCTATATTCTTTAGTTATTGAAATTATATATAATTAAAAATAAGTTATGTTTATGTAAAATCGATAAACAATGGTAATTCACTAGATATTTGTTTATATTTACAAAGAAACTGTAAATTTTAATAGAACTATCTAATACCATTTTCTTTATAAATTTTAATACATAAAAATGTAAAAATTATTAGTGCAATGGCTTGAGTACAGTCTTTCCATTTCAAGGACCGGGATTCAAATCCTGACTGAGGCCAAATTTTGTTTGTATTTTTATTAGTAAAATTTATAATTTCAAATATTTGTGTTAATAATTGATGTTTAAAATTTTGTAAATATTTATTATTAGGTCGTACAAAAATATACTATACCGTACAGTACTGTACTGTACGATTGAGTATTCCGCCTGCAGAGTTGTGCTCAAACCTCGAATTATTGCGATATGGCCATGATATCACAAACTACCACGTATTTTGGTGAAAGATAAATAATTCTTACCTTTGTTGGACCAACTGTCTTAAGAATTTTTCTAGTCGTGTTGAGGTAAAAGAAACTCATGTAACAGTCCTTACATGTCTTGACAAAGATCGAAAGGCAGAGGTCCTTATTGGGTAAAAATAACTGAGGACCTAGTCTTGAAATCTGTGAAGTGTTGGTGAACAAAAAACTGTCTAAAAATTAAATGTTTTGGTGTATAAAGTGTAATTGAATATACATGGTGATTTTAAACGACACTACTAAAATAATACCTCGATATCAAATGGAGCTTTGAATGGGCCCTTGAAACATTATTAGTATTTCATGAAAATTACTAAATCGATGTGCATGCATCATCGGACCTAGATCTAAATTGTCCCACCATTACCACTTTTCATTTTTTGATAGAAGGCGCCACTTACATACTCAACTGATTTTTTTAACATAACTTTTTTATCATTGTAAGAAAACGTACTGTTTTTTTAGGAAAAAGCATTTAACCATCGGGATACATGCAATATCCATTTTCTTCCAAAAAACACTTAAACATAAAATATGAACTTGTCTCAACCCCCTTAAATGTCATACTTGATAATCATATCTGTCCCAATCACGATCTCATTGTACTCATTTATCATATTCCTATAGTTCGAGACACATTAAGAATGCAGTATGGCCAGGCATAGGCAATGTATTCCTAATGGGAGACCGGCACACTGTGTTGCCGTCCTTCCGATAGCTGTAACAGTGTCTGCCCAATTTAGTAGTCAATGTTATTAGAACATGTTCTTGGTTGCATATATGAAGACCGTTTGTCCTTCTTTATGTCTAATTGGACGGCTTTCTGCAGAAAGGAAACAACCAGAGATAACGAGGAGATGTAACTACTAACAAATATCGTACGGTCCTGAATAAGACATATTCTAAGGGACACATACGGGTATAATATCCGCTGTTGTCATATTATGTCTATTTCATTATTCTCGTTTTGTTTACAAAATTAGTTACATATATTAAAAAAACTAAAATAATTCAACCTATTTTATTGCAACTGTACCCAAAAATTTTTGAAACATTAGTTATATTAAATTTAATTAAATTAGATGTAATTTCACTAAATTAGATAATACTTTTCAATAAATTCCAAAACCTAGTGATGTTAGGTTGGAAGTGGCAACAGGGCTTACACCAGCGTGAATATTTACGTTGTTTATTATAAGCGCACAGCGTCTTACACATTTATTTATTGATAAAAATAAGTTGTATCTGCGGAAAATTCTTCTCTTTACCCCTTCTCTTACTTCTCACCTTTCGTCGCCTCGCCCCGCTTCTACAAATAGAGTGTATGGATTGTCGAATTAATGTTGGCATCGTGAATATTATATTTTATCAATGATTGCTTATATCTCTGTTATCTCTGGAAACAACCCACAAAAGAGGAAGAACGTTTTAAATGTAAAATACCTTTCGGTCAGAATTTGACGAAATTTTGATATGTTGAAGAACTTGACCTATGTATCACATATCTCCGTTGCGCCAAATCTCTAAGTTTAACAGTTTTTGATTTACAGGGTGTCCAAAATCACTATTTCATGACTTCACATTATCATAAAATGCATATTTTTGTCAATACTGACACAAAAATAATTGACTTTTTTTTCGTAGAACTAACTATATTTCTCTATTTTTTTCCTAATTTTTGTACATATAACTGATATACAGGGTGAGACCATATTTTTTATTTTTTTTAAATGTACGGTGGAGTTTATTTGATTTTTTGGTGAAAGAAAGCTAATACATATATATATATATATATATATATATATATATATATATATATATATATATATATATATATATATATATATATATATATATATATTTACTTTAGCGCTTACACATTCCAATTTTGCTACATACTACCGACGTTCTCGTACCATGCTAGATGGGCTAGAAAGGGTCTATAGATCACAGGGATGAAATATTAGCTGGGCCTGAAAAGTTGCAAAAATGGTCATTTTTATACGGATTTAGTTCCGGGACCAAATGGCTAGGTGGCGCTCGAGTTAGAAGTGTATATCGTATATATTTCGTTCCATTTTTACAACGTTTACAGGCCCGAAACTTGGCAACAGCGCGGTGGTTTCATGGAAACAGTTATTATGAAACAAGGCAAATATAAGAAATAAGCCGTGATGGGAAGGTTTAAATTCAATACGTATTTTCGTAATAATGTGTAGTCTTGGTAGTAAAGATCTTAGCGGTATAAGTTTGGTATTTTTTGGACTCAGGTGTTTTGTTTGTTCGAATTCTGCCAGGGCCAGAATTTTTCTAATTATTATTCGTGTGATGTTTGGTGTTACCATATCAGTATAGTATTTCGTTTAAAAATAATTAATTGGATTATTTTAAAGAAAAACACTATTGTTTAAGTTACCTATTCATGATATTTTAAAAAATACATATATACAGGGTTATTCATTATAAATTACCCACCCCTTATTATCGTTATTATTGTCTATAGAAAAAAAAGTTTCAAATAAAAGTTGTGTGGTAATAACTGAATTTTGTTAAAATGCTATCAACTATACAGTGGCGTGCGGATTTAAAGGGATACAAAAATATAATATATTTTTTTAATGGGACACCCTGTATATTATTACATTTTTGGATTTGTCATTTTTTTCTGATTTCAAAAATATATAATATGTCGAATATCTTAGGTAACTTGTTACTGCAAATATGAAAAAGTTATCATTATTAAAGTAGGCTATGAAAGTGAAGCAGTATATCTAGCTGCTCTTCCTGGTTTGCTTGAACTACACGCTTTTTTCTACTAAAACTGGAGGTGTGATTCACCTTTAGATAAATATTTTTGAACGTATTTTTTTGATTTGTTATTTTTTTCTGATTTCAAAAATATATAATATATTGCCCGTACCTTATACCGTTTTTGAGTTATCATACGTCGAAGATCTTGTGTAACTCTCTGTTTTTAAACTAAGAGGAGCGAATTGAAAAGTCCTATTTACACAGGGAAAAATAACTAAAAAAGTAACTAGATATCATTTTAGCGGTAAATTTGAATTTGTCTTGTATCATTTCAAGAAAAACATTTCAAAACTTTGTTATGAATTCATTGAAGTCAAAGTTTTGAATAACCAACGAATAAAGATAAATTGTGCTCATTCTGTTTTTGATTTATAATTATTGTATTTTAGTTGTACTTTTATTTTTTCCTTACTTCGTCTCATATCGCAGCTCGGACCAGTATGTTGAGAAGAGAATCGCCCAAGCAGCGACCAAATTTCAGTAAAATGTCTCCCAACAAAATACAAAATAATTTACATTTTGAGTTTAACATAGAGTTTTAATTCGATATTTTATTCATTGTTTTATAAGTAACTGTGATTAGAAAATTATATATCTATTATAATAACAGAATAGAAAGTAAATAGTAGGTTTTTCAATTTGATGGAAAAATTAGAAAAATAGGTATGCCAGTTCTATTTGTTGAAATGAAATTAAGCACCTATTACAAAACATATTTAGGAGGGACTGAAAAATATGTAGTTCAAGAAAAGCTTATTTAAAATGAAGAATTTTGGCAGGTACAAAAAAATAAAGTTTATTTTTATATTTCTTTATAGGTATAGTTTAATTTGTAATATTTTTTCTTAAAATTAAACTACAAGATTACCATTAGTTGTATGGATTTCCTAATTAAATAAGGGTTCTTTCTTCAGGTAAAATGTAGCAAAGTTCTGAAGTACGATACGATATGTTTACAGACAAGTGTTTTGAAATGAAATAAATCAAATCTATACGAATTTTGTCTCCACTAACAAGATGTTATATTCAACAGTCGAAAGTGTAAACTTGTGGGCAACAGCTTATTAAATGTATGTAGAAGTTCAAGAAAGTGCAATGGTACCAGCTTTTACTATAATAATAATGGTTTTTATCATTCTCCTGTTTTTTTGTAGATAGGATTTATAATTGTTGCTTAAATTCCACATTGTGTATCAGAATGTCTTTGGTCTTCTTGAAAACATATTTTTATACAATATAAAGCAGATGGTATATTTTTTTGAGACATCCTTCAAGCCTCTCGAAAACTAAATGTTTATTTGCAGGTAAGATAATATGTATCTTAATTTTGTATGATCATTTATTGTATATACAAATAATTAAATAAAAATTATTAAGGCATAAAAAAGGTAATTTGTAACTTTGTGTCAGCAGAAGGATTTCCTACACCCAATTTAATATATTTTTTACAAACAAATAAAATATCTTTAGTATGATCGGTAGATATTTTTACTAATTCAGCACTACATATGTTTCGAAATCTTCTGGTACAATCACAGCTTTTTAAAATTAAAAAAAAAACATTTAGAAACATATACACTTTAAAATGATCATGAACAAAACCCATATTTTGTGATAGTGTGTAGGTAGCTTACAACTTAGTTGATTAAATTAAAATACACCTTTTACACATTCGCAGAGTTTAATATGTGTAAGTGTAGTTATAATATTTGCAGTCTATTTTATAAACTACATTTAGTTAAGTTGCTTTCTTGAGTTTGGGTTTAAAATTTAAAAATAAGGTTTCGTTTATGAGCAATTTTTACATTATATCTAGAGAATATTTTTGACACTTGTTTGGAAAGTCCTTTTACATATAGCAATTTAATGTTTAAAAAAGGGTGCCACACCAAATGTTACAGTGATAACACTTTATGCTTTTGACTATTTAAGTACCAAGCTATTTATTTAAAATAATAAAACAAGGTATTTGTTTTAGGTTAAATAATGAAAGTTATCCTTCCTCCATGAGTTTTGGAGGCCACAAATTATGGACATATTCAGATGGCAATGGCACTTTTAAATATATCCAAAATATTTTGTAGTTTTAAATGTTAATTAACAATTTTGTAAATGGTTTATTTTCAAATAAATAAAATTGACTTTAATATTTAGTTATATTTTAATCATTTCGATTAGAAATTCATTAATTTTTAGTTTAAAAAAAATTAGTAATAAAGTTGTATTTTTTTTTAAGTAGAACACCAAAAAAAGCAATATTTACCAATTTATAATATTGCGGAAAAAATGCTACCATTCCTGAGGCTTAATATATCAGTCCAAAAGTGGATGATTTCAGAAATACAGTGTTAAAAGTTCAATT